CATACAGAACCAGATAGTAAATATTTTAGGCTTGCAGGCCACACATGGTATCACATATGGTGTCAGGGAAAGCTGGTGGAGACAGCGCCTGCATCACACATATTCTTTTTTTCTTTTTAAAATGTGTAATTCATTTTTATTGAAGGCCTATTCAAAAATAGACTAGGTCATGAATTGGCCCCAAAACCATAGTTTGCGAATCCCTCCTCTACAGTATTCTGACCTGCCTCATCCTTCTGGAACTCCAATCTCTGTCTCCTTAACTTAGTGACATTACTCAGTGCTGGATGGGTTTCCCTCCCTGTGCCATCTGAAAATTGCCCCCCACAGAGGAAGCTAATATCATTACAGGTCTCGCCTCACCTGCTTCCCTGCTTCCTGGGATCATAGTCCTAGACTATCTATTGTCCTGACGTCTAAAAAGTTATTTATTTTGTCCAGTTTTCTAATTGTTTATAATAGGAAAGCCAATTCTATACTGGATGTTCCTTCATGGCCCTACCACCATTTTGAATTTTTTAAAAGTTAAATAACAGAATAACACTTATACTGATTTCTACATCTCCTGGTGTCCTGAAAATGCTCACATTATCTCCTTTTTTGTTTAAAGAACTGTCTAACCCAAAGACTGGAGTTATCCCTACTTTTTTGAAAATCCCTAATCCAGTCTGGTGATGAAGCTGGAAATCAGCATCTCCTTGGCAACTTCCTTCTCTTCCTCCCCCATCCCCTGACACCCCCCTCCCCCATCCCACTGTGGACAGTCACTTAGAAATGTAGGAAAGCAAAGAGAGGGGGGAGTTGGGAGTTGGACCTTTCCTTCTTTCTCATTTCTTTTTTGGCTACTCAAGACATAGGTGCTTGGTAGTTTGCAGATCACATTTTTACTTTGCAACTGGTAATCCACAGAACTTAAATGTGCCTGAAAGGTAAAGGCAGATTTTAAAGCTCCTGCTGCTGACCTCTGGGAGAAGCCTGAAGGGCTACTGAGTGACGACAGTGCCTACATCAAAGAAGTCATGAAGAACCCATGTGTGGTGAGGGTCAGTCCCTCAAAAGCATTAAGTCCTCCACTCTTCTCCTAACAGAGACAATCTAAATGGAGAGGATTTGGCTTCTTTCTCTCAACATAATGTGTTTTGTTTTGTTTTGTTTTTCTTTAATATTTATTTTCTAGTTCTCGGCGGACACAACATCTTTGTTTGTATGTGGTGCTGGGAATCGAACCCAGGCCACACGCATGCCAGGCGGGCGCGCTACCACCTGAGCCACATCCCCAGCCCCTCAACATAATGTTTATGAATTTCATCCTTGTAATTGTGTATATCAGGAGTTTCTTTTTCTTTTTCTTTTTTTTTTTTTTTTTGGTTGTTTTTAAAAATGAAGAATAAAATTTTATCCTTTTTTATTGTTGAGTAGTATTCCACTGTTTACCATTCAATTATTGAAAGACATTGGAGTTATTTCTAAGATTCTGGTTATTATGAATATTTATATGTAAGTTTTTGGTGGACATTGTTGCCCCATTTTTCCAGTCTGTGACTTTTATTCCCATTTTTCTTAACAGTAGCTTTTGAAGAGCAGATTTTAATTTTGGTGAAATCCAATACACACTTCTTTTTTTTTTTTTTAACCTCACATTGTCCACACTTCTTGTGACCTATGTTAAGTTTCTTTGACTCCACGAGGACCATAGATATTTTTCTTCTAGAAATTTGACAGATTAAGGTTTTACATTTAGTTCTACAATTAATTTTGAGTTAGTTTTTCTAAACAATGCAAGGTAAAGACAAAGGCTCGTTTTTCTAGAACCATTTATTTTTTTATTTTCCATGATGCTAGTGACTGTACCCAGGGCCTTGCTGGCAAGTGCTCTACCCCTGGCCTATACCCCCAGCCCTTAGCACTATTTATTAAAAAGATCATCGGTCCCCTCAGTGAGTTACCTCAGGTTGAAATTCATTGGTCATATCCGTGTACCTCTATCTGGTCTCCTCCTGTGCCATTGATCTGTATTTCTGCTTTTATGACAATACAACCTTGTCTCATTATATCTCTATAATAAGTCTTGAAATCCACTAGTTCTTCATGTTGGTTATTGTAGGTCCTTTGATTTCCATACTCATTTTAGAATCAGCTTATCCATTTCTATTAAAAAAAAAAAAAAAACAACTCCAGCCTGAAAAAACATAAAGAAATTTGGAGGCATAACACTACCAAATTTCAAGACTAACTTTAAAGCTTTAGTGGCTGGGACAGTGACAAATTGGTAGAAGAGTATAAAAATGGGTTGGGAACTGAATAGAGTCCGGAAATAGGTGCTAATATACATTGTCAATTGGTAGTAAAAATAAAGGCACTTTGAACAAACATAAAAGACATGGAAAAATATACCTGGATCCTCTTCTCATGACATAAACAAAAATTAATCTGTTGATCAGAAACCTAAAACTATAAAGCTTATAGGATACAAACAAAAGAAAAATCTTTGCTATCACCAGTTCAGAAAGTGAATAAATTAGCTGGGCACAGTGGCACATGCTGCAGTCCCAGCAACTTAGGAGGCTGAGGCTAGAGGCTGAGAAGTCCAAAGCCAACCTCAGCAACTTAGTGAGGCCCTAAGCAACTTAGTGAGACCCTATCCCTAAATACAAAAACTTAAAAAGGGCTGGGGACATGGCTCAGAGATTAAGAGCCCTGGGTTCAATCCCTGGGAATGAAAGAAAGAAAAAGAGAAGGGAAAGGAAGAAAGGAAAGAAAGAGGAGGGGAGGGGAGAGAAGGAGAAGAGAGGGAAGAAAGAAAAGAAAGTGAACAAATTAGACTTAGGACTTTAAAAAAAAACAGATACAACATTCTTTCATTTTATTTTATTTATTCATTTTTATGTGGTGCCAAGGATCTAACCCAGTGCCTTACACATGCTGGGCAAGTGCTCTACCACTGAGCCACCACCCCAGTCCTGGACTTAGGACTTTAATCTGAAGAATACTTATGAATTGGCAATAAAAAGATAAGCAACCCAATTTAAATGGGCAAAAGAAAAGACACTTCACAAAAGAAGATACAAGGGGCTGGGTTTGTGGTTTAGTGATAGAGCACCTGCCTAGTGTGTGTAAGGCACTGGGTTTGATTCTTAGCACCGCACGTCCACTGACAGGTAAAAAAAATATTTTAAAAAAAAGAAGAAGAAGAAGAAGATACGAAAGTAATCAATGGCACATGAAAAGGTGACAAATGTCAGGGAAATGCAAATTCAAACCTCAGTGAGCTACCACTTCCTCTTATTAAAACTGAGCAAATAAAAGTACTAATGAGGACATGGGTCAACTGGAGCTCTCATTTATTGCTGACAGGAGTCTAAAATGGTCCAACCAATTTGGAAAACTCTTGGGAAATTTATAAACAAGTTTAACATGTTATCTACTCTATGAACAAGTTCCACCATCAGGTTTCTTCCCAAAAGAAGTGAAAACATGTACACCAAAAGTCTAGTGCTGGGGGCTGGGGCTCAGGGGTAGAGCACTTGCCTCGCATGCCTGAGGCACTGGGTTTGATCCTCAGCACCTTGTAAAAAATAAATAAATAAAATAAAGGCATGCTGTCCATGGACAACTACAAAGACAAATTTTTTAAAAGGAATGAACTAATGGTACATGTAACAATAGGGATGAATCTCAAAATACACGGAAGGTAAGAAGACAGACCCAAGAGAGCACTTACTCTCCGATTCCATTTGTATGAGATGTACAACACGGGAATCTATTCTGAGAATCATCAGAACAGTGGCTCTTTCTGGGAGGAGATGACAAAAGGGCACATCCTGGAGCGATGGAAATATTCTCTATCCTGATCTGGAGGATATGGGGTGGGGTACTGTGCATTTGACTATGTACAAACTATACCTTGGTAAAGAAAATAAAAATATAGAAATACATTGAGTTAAGATAATCATTGATCAACTTAAGATTTTAACCTTATCGATTTTTTTTAAAAAAATGTATAGATAAGGAAACAATGAAATGGGGAAATAGAAAAAAGAATCAAGTCTAAATAATAACTGGAAAAATCTACATTCACAACAATCCAGAAATAAAGCTCCATATATCCAACTGAGTAGCTGTCATGAGATTTTTCTCTGAGTAACTGAGACTCAATATGACAGTGACTTAATGAAAAGTGAAGCTTATTTCTCTGTTGGATAAGGGCTGCAGGGTCATCCCTACAAATACCAGGAAGCCAAATTCCTTCTGAATTGCTGTCTCATACGCATAGCATGTACCTCCTGTCCCAAGACAGCTGCTCAAGCTCCAGGTACCACATATACAATCAAGCCAGAAAAGAAGGGATAAATAACAAGCAATTTGGCCTCCTTTCAAAAATATTTCCCAGAATTCATAACAACACTTCTGTTTATATGTACTTAGCCGTAACATGTACCATACAGGAATGTGAGGAAGATATAGAAGTATGTCTTTATTTTGAACATCTATATGCCCAGGAGAAGAGGAAGGAAAGATATCAGAGGAAATGATCATCAGTCTCTTGAGCCAGCAGACACCATAAGCACCCTGATCTATCACTTCCCTCAGCCTCAGCCCTTTGTTTTCCCTAAGGCCTGACCAACCCTACTGGGGGCTCAAGGCTTTAAACATATGGGGGAGAAGCAGAAATCAGGTACCGTTTGGGATGTAACTCCCTGATCTCCTTCTCGCTTACCATCTCTCACTTCCAGAGCCAACAAAGAGCAAACTCCACTACAGAGCTCCATGCAGAAATGCTGATGGCTACGAGCAGCACCACAGCAGAACCCAACTGGCTAAAACCATCTGTCCAACACACGTGGGCGCAGGCAGGGGCCGCTCCTCTCACTCTAGGATCTAAGAAGAATCACAACATCTTCCTAAGTTTCCCATGAGAAACGTTCTTTGCAAGGTCCCCACACCCCAGGCCAGTACAGCAGTAGAACACACACAGCAGTCTTCAAACATTTATTGAGTTCACATCTGAAATGTCCACACTCAAAACTGCCTCAACACAACTTGGAGTGTCCCCCAATGCAGCCACTAGGGCCCTGAGGAATAGGTGCCAGTCTGGGGTGCCCCGTGGGGCACAGAGCCACACTGGGTACAGGGAAACCTGTGCCAGCTCCAGGCACCAAGCCAGATGCTAAAGTCCCAGGCCTCACACCTCTGCAGGGACCTGCTAGGGCCTCCTTCACTGCCTCTGCAATCACCTTGCAGGTTGGTGTGACAAACTCCCAGGGAGACCCTGAAACCAGGGCCAGGTTCAGCTTCCTTCACCGTGATGAATTCTCTCCTTTGGTAGATGTTCTCCAAGGTGTCCCTGAGTCATCACACTCCGAGTGGCAGGCCTGCTGGCCCTCTAGCTAGAATCAGTTCATCCATATTCCCAGCAGGTAGAGTATGGGTCAGGCATAGGTTGGTTGAGGCAGGTGAGCAGGGCACCAGGCTGGAACACCTTGCAGGCCCCAGTCCCCTGCCAGGCTCCACTGTGGGGCTCCCCAGGGGCAAGCGATTCCAACCAGAATTTGAAGAAAAGGCATTGAGCTTGGCATGGTGGCTCATGCCTAAAATCCCAGCAAATCAGGAGGCTGAAGTAGGAGGATCTCCAGTTCAAAGCCAGCCTCAGCAAAAGCGGGATGCTAAGCAATACAGTGAGACTAAATGAAATACAAAATAGGGCTGGGGATGTGGCTCAGTGGTCAAGTGCCTCTGAGTTCAATCCCAGTACCAAAAATAAATAAAAAAATAAAGGGCATTGAAAAGGCAAAAGAGATTGGAGGCCTAGTGGGAGACCCAGAAATAGGAGGGGAATGGGCCAGGGTGATCATAGAGTCACCAGGATGCCCACAGGCAGCGTAAGACACTCCAGTAGAATGAGGAACATCACCGAATACAAAGGAACAGCCTGGTTCACCGTTGCAACCACCCACTTGCTGTAGAAGCTGAGATAAGTGTAAACTCCAGGAAAGTCTGAGTGACCACAGGTAACGCCCCAGCTCACAATCCCCACCTGGATCCAGGTCTCATTAAACTCACAGCTCATGGGGCCCCCAGAGTCTCCCTGGGGAAAGACAAAGAAACAAACTGCAGGAATGGAATTGACGTCAGAGTAGGCGATCAGCACAGCAAAGTGCCAGGGAGACAGACACATAGGGCTTCCCCGGTCACCCCACAGGCCCTGCCCAGGCCAGGCTTCTGTGAACATGAGAACTGTATATGGAAATATGGAAATTGAAAAGTTATTATGGCCATTTCCCAAACCTCAGTGGTCGTTAAACATTTTGAATATCACCTCTGCACTGCAGCCCCCAAATCCTTATACTGAACTTGGAGTTTCTTTGAAACTCTTGACCTATGTAGCAAACTCCCCCTAGTCCACTCACATCCCGTACATATTCCAACTCCAGCACAAGTCAACGTGTCCTGAACCAAACCTGCTCCACTAGCCCCACCACCAGTCACCTCCAGGAGAAACCCAGGGTCTTCCTCAGCCCCTCCCTCAACACCAGTGCCCTATGATCTTCACCATTCCACCTCAAATACATGTCCTATGGCTCCTTGCTGCCCCACGCCCTGCTTGGAATCCAGTGGTAATCCCTACATGATGAAAACTGCTCTTAGACTTCAGTCTAGACACCACACAACCAAGAAAGTCACTGACTTAAAAAGCAAATCTGATCACACTCACCCAGGCTCCCTCCCAGTCCTGCCTGAGCCAGGCTAGAACTTGGCCCTGCACCCAGATTCACTCTACCTCCCTACCCCACCCACTCATCTCTCTGGCCACATCTGCTACCCCATTGCTCTACATGTTTAAATCATCCTTCAACTGAAGATCTGCCCCCAGACCTCTGGGACACTGTACATGCTGAGCCCTCTCCCTACATGAAGACTCTGGGCCTCTCACAGAAGTGACTGGTAGGGGGAACAGTGCAGTAGGTTTGGGAAAAGCCAGGCTGAGTTACTCTTGGAATGTTTCAAAGTCTTGAAGGTAGCAGAGCTGATGGATGGATGGGGTTGGGTACATGGGTTCACAGCAGGGAGAAATCATTCAGTAGAGGTAAGGACTTTGGCCCTCTCTCTGTACAGGTGATAATCAAAATATTCAGGGTTCTTGGAACTTCTTCTTTGTTCATTCCAACGGTAAAGTTCTTTCCAGTACATGCAAATATGCATCTGATAAGACTAGGCCCAAAAGCCCTCTCTTCAGGAACAAAGCTTGGTGGAGAGGGAAGAACATGGGCCTGGGAGTCATAGAGGTACTCTCAGGATGACCTTGAATTGATGTCCTTGGATCTCCCCTTCCCCATATGGATAGTGGGCACTGTGTCTGTGTTGCTGGGTCGTGATGTGGGTTAACTGGGATCATTTGGACTAGCGCTCACACTGGCGGGGTGAGTGCTGCACAGGAGAGCTCAACTAGTGAAACACAATGTGGACATCACCCAGCCCACCTTCAGCACCCTAGCAGTGCCCCAGATAGCGAGGATTGCTTCCTTTTGAAGAAACAGGCCAGACCAGCTAAGGGAATCTAGGGGGTCACTCCCTGTGCACCTCCTTAGCTCAACTAGGGGTAAATGGAGGAGGCACAAATATGAGGAAAGGGTGTGCAAACTTACCTGACAAGCATCCTTTCCTTTTTTAGTATCACCACATATCATCCCTTTCAAGACCAGATCCCTTTTAGATGACAAGGCTTTCTGTATCTTCTCATTACATTCTTGGTAAAGGATGATTTGTTGGTCCACTTCCTGTAGAATCTCTGTTGAATTCATGTCCGCTAACGAAGAAGATAAGCAGAGTGTGAATCTGTACAAGTCAATAGTAAGCCCCCTGCATCCAGTCTGACCCTGGAAGACAGTAGGACAGTTTGTATTGTCCCCATTTGACACAGGAGGGATCTGAGGCCCAAAGGTGACACAGGGAAGGGCAGGGTAAAAGGCAAAACCAAGATAGGAAAAGGAAGAATATATTTCAGAAGGGGGAGAGGCAAGTCCTTAGTATCCTGAGAAATGACAACCAAGCATCTGTCACTCTTGAGTTTTGATAGTAATGGTGACAGGGTGTCCTTAGCATCAGTAAATCAACTTCACATTTTAGGGGAGGATCACAGGCTCTTGGACAGGTAGCATGTCACAGGTACCAAATCCAGCCTCTTCCCATGGATAGGAAGCTGTACAGCCTCAGGTCCAGAACAGGAATCTCAGGCTTTGCATACACTTCAAGAGACAAGAAGCTCCCTATCCTAAAGACAGCTATTCTCAATGAGAAGCAGCTCTGACTGGCAAACAGTTCATCACCCCCTGGGCAGAAATCTCTCTGGATGTATCTGGTTATCTCCTTTTGAGGAAAAAAATCAAACAAACAAACAAACACAAAAATCCCTCAAACCAGCTCACCATGTGCCCCCAAAATCTGCATAAGGAGCAACTCCTGGCTGAGCAACTCCAATTCCCAGGCAAAGTGACTTTCCTAAATTTCTTGATCACCCAAGCCATTCAGGACCCATTACCTTGACTGCTCTTAAACTGCAATCCCTTTACCTCCCCGTCTTTCCTTGTCTTTGGCCTTAATTTCTGTTTCAAGGATAAGACTGCTTCTCCTCTCTCCCCAGTTTGCTTCTGATCTGGAAGTCTTACCTTCTTGTTTTGTTTTGCCCCACCCAGTCACCCAGCACTTGGTCCCAGTTTGCACATGGAAAAGCTCAGAAGGGACGCAGATAGGGTGGATAGTAGAGGTAAAATTCACAGGGTAGAGGAGGCGAAGAAGGGCAATGTCATTTATAACCGTTGCAGCTGTTCTGAACTTAGGATGGACAATGATGTTCCGGATGGGGATCACCAGACTTGTCTTTTGTGTACTGAGACGCCGATCTCCCATCTTCACGCTGTACTGCAAATGACTGTGGGAGAGAGGACATGCTCCTCACCCTGGGAAGCGTCCCTCCTGCCCTTCCCATCCGAGATGGTTCCCAGCATGACCCCAACCTTCCTCGCCACTCTCCCCCACACCCCATCTCTAGCACCAAATCGTCTCATGTTGGGTCTCCCTCCAAATCCTCTTAAGTACCTTTAGTAAAGAGAGGGCAGTACAGAAACTTTCCCCTTTCCACCGAATGTGTTTTTGTTTTACCAGTTCGCCAGGGTGGTGGGCCAAGGGTGTTGGAGGAGAGCAGGGCCGCCTGCAGGACCCCGCATCTCCATCTGCCCCTCACCTTATGATGCAGTGCGCGGCGGTCAGCACCCACTGCGCGGTGATGAGAGAGCCTCCGCACACGTGCTTCTCCCTGTTGCGCACGCTCACCTGCCAGGGCCACTTCCCCTCCTCGGCGTTAAAGCCTCCAACAATCTTCAGGAAGGGCCGGCCACACACTAGACCAGGATATGCAGGAAGAAGGACTGGAAGAGTCAGGTCCCACCTGCGAGCCCGTGCCCGGCGACCCCTGCGTCCCAGTGCTCCGCAGCCGGCTCACCTGGGGCGTGCTCACCCGAGGAGAACGCCAGCAGGTGCGGCAGCACCCCGATCGGGCCGTGCGTGGGAGCCACCTGGGTGCGAGTCTGCATGGACGGGGTGTCTGTGTGCGCCACCGACTCCCCTGTAGGCCCCTCCTGCCCGCTGGCCCCGGAAACCTCGCCGCTCGTGGGCCCAGAGGACGTGAGGGGCACGGCGGATGCGTAGGCCTCGCCGAGCTGCAGCTGCAGGAGCAGGAGCCAGGCCAGCAGGCCCAGGCAGCCGCCCCGGGACGCCATGGTGCGCGGGCCCTGCGGCGCCCCCTCGCGGCCGGGTTGGCTGCCGATGGCGACCACCGGGCGCACGCGGCGGCAGGCGGCGAGCTAGGACCACGACATGGGGGTGTGGCTTCCTGAGTTTCCCTCGACCTCACTCCTTCTGGACCAAGGGGCAGGCGCTGCTGGGGTGGCAGTCCTCGATGGAGACCGCTGCCTAGGGTCGCGCTCCAGACGTCCAGCCTGGATTCTTGTAGTTGACATATGGTCCCCAGGGAGGCAGTGTTGAGATGGAGGAACCTCGAAAAGGTGCGGCCTAGAGGACGTGCTTAACTCATTGAGGGTGCTTCTCTTGGAAAGGATTAGTGTAGCTCTCATAGGACCCCAGTTAGTTCACATGATAATTATTTTAAAAATAACCTGGCCCTGAAGTTTCTCTGGCTTCCTGTCACCATATGATTCCACCCTCTTGCACATGTTTCCCACCATGATGCAATCTGCTGTGTTGTGATATAATCGCCAGAAGGCCCTCATCAGAGCTGAGCAGATACTAGCACTATGATCTTGAACCTCCAGATCTGTGAGATAAATATCCTTCCTTTACAAAGTACCCAGCCCCCTGGTATTTTGTTATAGTAATAGAAAATAGACTAATACAGCAAGTGAAAAGACAAATGGATACCATCCCCCTTCCCTGTGAGCACTCATAAGCTACTCATTTCACTCCAACTGTAGCAGGCTGCCATCCTCAGATCTAGTGCAGTGGCACAAATATTGTGCCCAGAATGATAGGCAAGCTGAAAAAATTAGTGCTCTGCAGCTCTGTCTGAGGTGACTGAATTTATTTGAAAGAAGAGGGTTAGGATTAGTTCACACTAAAGGTATTGCTTAAAACAATAGAGGTCTTATTGGTGAGCAATACAGAGCTCTGTGATACTAGCAGGGAAAAAAAAAAAGTGAAATAGCAACCTGCCATTAGCTTAACAAAGTGGAAGAAACCACCAAGAAAATTTCTCCTATGCTCACATTTAGCTTTAAGGGCCTGTGCATGCACTAGGCTGCACCAAATCAGCAACAGAAAGTGGAGTCTATTTAAATGCATTTCCCAAGCCACACAGATATCTGCAAAAGGCAGAAACTTTCCTGGTTCAATGGACTGAAGTACAACCTTTCACCAAAAAGCTACTCTGACCTAGGGGTGACTCCTAGTAAGCCAGGATTAAAAATAAAATCACACTCATCCCTAATGTACTGAAAGGCTGTGCACAAGCCCAAGGCTATGTCTTCCCAGGAGCAAATGCATGGGGACCGTCTAAGCCACTAGTTCCTGGCTGAACCTGTGGGGAAATAGTAAATTCCAAAGGCTGTGAAAGCAGAATTCATGCTGCACATATATCCAATGACCAATAGTGAAAATAAAACTGACTAGAGGCAAGCATCCACCAATGAGTGGCTTACACTCACCCATAAATTAACTCGGGAATGCCAGGGTAGAACACTAAAATAAGCACAAGGAGGGGTCGGGTCTGAGCTGGGATATTAGAGACTGAAAATTGACAGGAAAATAGATAACACAGAAATATTTCACCCAAGACACTAAACAAATAAGCAAATGACCAAACAAACAACAATATAAGTCAGCAGGGAGGAGGGCAGAAATCACTGTCTGAATTTGCTACAATATATTATCTAAGATGCCTTCTTTTCCATATATATATATATATATATATATATATATATATATATATATATAAAACAGGTAAAGAAATAGGAAATTTTACCAATTCACAAGGGAAATATTGCTGGTAAAGAATCTGTCTTTGGGGCTGGGGATGTGGCTCAAGCGGTAGTGTGCTCGCCTGGCATGCGTGCAGCCCGGGTTCGATCCTCAGCACCACATACCAACAAAGATGTTGTGTCCGCCGAGAACTAAAAAATAAATATTAAAAATTTCTCTCTCTCTCTCTCTCTCTCTCTCTCTCTCTCTCTCTCTCTCTCTCTCTCTCTCTCTCCTCTGTCACTCTCTCTTAAAAAAAAAAAAAAAAGAATCTGTCTTTGAGGGATCCAGTATACTGGGCATAGTAGATAAAGACTTCAAAACAGCTATTTCAAGTACATTAAAAGAGCAGGGTGTGGTGACACCTGCCTGCAATCCCAGCAGCTCAGCTCTGGATGCTGAGTCAGGAGGATTCAGAGTTCAAAGCCAGCCTCAGTCACTTAGCAAGACACTAGAGCAACTTACAGAGATCCTGTCTCAAAAATATAAAAAAGGATTGGGGATGTGGCTCAATGGTTAATCATACCTGGATTCAATTCTTGGTGTAATATATGTATATATATGTTAAAAGAACTAAATAAAAGCATATTTAAATGATTAATAGAGGGGCTGGGGACGTGGCTCAAGTGGTAGCACGCTGTCCTGGTATGCGCAAGGCACTGGGTTCGATCCTCAGCACCACATAAAAAAATAAATAAAGATATTGTGTCCATCTAAAACAAAAAAATAAATATTAAAAAATAAAAAATTAAAAAAATAAATGATTAATAGAAGGTATGCTAACAACAAAAATCAAAGAATACATAAATGGAGAAAATTTTAAAAGAACCAATTTAAAAACCTTTATAAAACCAAGTGGATGCCAGGCACAGTGGCACCTCCCTGTAATTCCAGCTGCTCTGGAGGCTGAGGCAGAATTGCAAATTCAAGGTCAGCCTCAGAAATTTAGCAAAACTCCATCTAAAGGAAAGAAGGTCAATCTGGGGATATAGCTCAATGGTAGAGCACTTGCCTAGCATGTAGGAGACCTGGATTCAATCCCCAGTACTGGGGGTGGAAATGGTGACCAGAAGACAGTGGCAACTTATTCAAAATGCTGAAAGAAAAAACTGCCAATCCAGAATGTTATATCCAGTAAAGTTGTTTTTCAAAAATGAAGATGATGAAAGTGGAATCATTCATTACTCCCATCTTTACAAAAATACAAAGGATTAACAGAAAACATAATGAACAATTTATATCAATACATGGACAACTTAGATGAGATGGAAAAATTCCTAGAAGCATAATCTATCAAAACTAAAAATCAAAAAAAAAAAAAATAGAAGCCAGGCTCTTGGCACACGCCTGTAATCCCAGTGGCTCAGAGGATGAGGCAGGAGGATCAAGAGTTCAAAGCCAGAGCTGGGGTTATAGCTCAGCAGTAGAGTGCTTACCTCATACATGTGAGGCACTGGGTTTGATCCTCAGCACCATATAAAAATAAATATTTTTTTCAAAAAAAAAGAGATCAACACCAGCCTCAGCAAAAGCAAGGTGCTAAGCAACTCAGTGAAAATCTGTCTCTAAATAAAATACAAAATAGGGCTGGGGATGTGGCTCAGTGGTTGAGTGCCCCTGAGTTCAATCCCTAGTACACACCCACCCACCCCCCTAAAAATAAAAACATAGAAACTCAATCTTGGTAGGTTGTTTAGGGTCCAGGAATTTATCTGTTTCTTCTGGATTATCCCATTTAGGGGCATATAATTGTTCATAATAGTCTGGTAGGGATGTAAAATGGGACAGCAGCTGTGGAAAAGTGTGGTGGCTGATCATGAAGAATTCCCATAGGCTCCAGGAGCCCCACTGCAAGGCATATACCCAGAAGAATCGAAAATAGGGATTCAATCAGACACCAGACACCTGTGTTCACCTCCCTAAAACCTGTGAATATATTACCTTATATTGTAAAGGAAGCTTTGCAGGTGTGATTAAGGATCTTGAGATGGGGATAGAACTCTGGATTATCTAGCCACTTGAGCCCTGCAAAAGGGAGATTCTTTCCTGACTCTAAGCAGAGGGAGATGTAGCTACAGAAGAAGGATCGTAGAGGTGCAATGTTGCTGACTTTGAAGGTGGAAGAAGGGGCCATGAGCCAAGGAATGCAGGTGACCTCTAGAAACTGTGAAAAGCCAGGAAACATTCTCCTTTGGACCTCCAAGAGACTCATTTTGGACTTGTGACCAAAAGAACTGTAGGAGACTAACTGTGTTGTTTTGAGCCACTAAGTAGTCATTTCTTATAGATATTGTCATACTGAAGAAAATGCTGAAGCAATTAAAATAATACAATAGAGCAAACCTGTCCTGAAATGGAATGATCTGGAAGACACACAATTAAGTAAAAAATGAAAAATGATAAACGATGTGCAAAGTGTGATCCCATTTGGACAGCAGCAAACTCATGTTATATTCATAAATATGTATCTATACCCGGGACCCAGTGATTGGCAGGTGTCTTAGGTGGTTGCTGCCCAAGCAGAGATTCCTCCTTCTATAACAACTTGCCTCCCTTAGGTGCTCACAGATCTCTGAGAGGCCCAGGGTATTTCCAGATCCACCCCATCATTGCCTAATTGTAGAGATGCTGTTGGGTCAGGAAGAGCAGGTGACCTAGTGTCAGCTGGGAGATTCAGGAGACATTTATGGGGACCTCAGAAGAAGAGACTTTCTCATTCTTCTCAAAAAGCTTCTAGCAGAAATATCCCATCCTCCATTCTTCTGAGAGCAAATGGAAATAGATGGGCTCACTGGGGTGGTGCAGATTTTCCTGCAAGCTCACAGGGGTCAGACTATAACCACATTGATCCCCAAGAAGACACAGCACAGAGAGGTGGAATAGACATCCTGGGTTACCCACCTGCCCCCCTGGACAGCCCTGGGACAATCATCCACCTGTCTCCTTTACTCTCAGAGCCACCTGACATCAGCATTTTGTTCCTTGTGACAGAACATCTTCTGATGGACACAGACATCCACTCCATTTCCCCTTGTTGGAACCTATGTGTGGCCCTCTGAGTCCCCACACCCACATCAAGGCTCCGTCAGGCAGTCAGGGGCCTAAGCCTCTGTCCCTGACCCTGGGGAAGCCTTTAGGCTCTTTTGAAAACTGAAACTCTCACTTTATGAGAGAAGGGAAGGAAAGGGAAGAGAAGAGATGGGAAGGGAAGAAAAAAGGAGTGAGAAGGGAAAGAAGAGAATCAGAAAGGGAAAGGATTTGCTGGGTAGAAAGTGGGGGGGAATAGGAGGAGGAGCGCAGGGGAAGGGGGAGTGGGGAACAGAGGGGAGAGGCAGCCGATGAAGAGAGAGTGGGGAGGCAAGGAGGAGGAGTACCGAGGGAAAGAAAGGAAGAGGCTGAGTTATAAATGAGCAGGAAGACACAAAATACATCACTTGCAGAAGATACAACCTCCTTCTAAATCAAATGCAAATGAACCACCCCCAAATTATTAATAAAGTGAGAGGGTTGGAAGAAAAGATCAATGTACAAAATCAAACTTAATCCTTGAAAGCAATAACAAAGCAATAAAAAGAGAAAAAAAAATCCAGCAATCAGTATGAGGCCTTGTGCCATCTAGCTGGGCTTTTCTGACTGCTCTCCTTGCTCTAAAGTCCCCAGCCACACTGGCCTCCTTGATAGGCCTGCCCCCAGGCCTTTGCACTGGCTCTTTCCTTTGACCCCAGATATTCATGCAAGTAATTTCCTCACCTCCTGGGTCTGTACCAGAATTTGTAAACTTTGTGTCTGTAAAAAGCCAGATAGTAAAAAAGGCTTTGTGAGTCAAGAGACAAAATTACAACTGTCATGGAGGTACTTATATACCAAGAGAGAAAACAAATTTCCACAAAACTTTTACTGATGGGATTCAAAATATAATAAGAACCGAGTTTTTTTGTTGTTGCTGCTGTTTTTGAAATACAAGCCTACTAAGGAGAAAATGGAATTCTTTTAGGGTAAAGAATGGAATTCTTTTTTGTTTGTTTGTCTTCTTTGCTCATAACTGTATTCCCAGCTCCTGGAACATGCCTGGCACATAGCAGGTACTCAACAAACATCTGCTGGCTGAGTGACTGAGTGGAGGGGTGAATGTTTGGAGATGGAGCCTTAATGCCTATAAGTGCTTAGACCACTGCCTGGCACACACCAGTGCTCCCTGTTAGCCACCGTTATTGTTGTGGTTGTTACACAGGCATCTGGAAGGAGAAGGCACCCAGAGTGCATAATCTTTCAGCCACAGGCCTCCCTGCCTGTTGCCTCCCTTCCCCTGCACTTTGCTCCTCCCCTGGCTCCTGGCTCCTGGTCTCCACCCCTCCCCCTGGACCCTGCGCTCCCCTCTGGCGGTCTCAGTCTTGGTCCCTACTATTGAACCAGCTCTCGGCCTCTCACTCCCCGCAGTACCTCAGCAGAGTCTCCCCTGGACACCCAAGATTCCTCGGATCTGACTGCCTGTGTCCGCTCTGTTCCAGTCTATCCCCAACCCCACCCCTTAGCTCGCACTAAGGACGCTAGACTGCCCGTGCTCCGCCTACGTATCCCTCTTCTGGAAAGCCTTCCCTCACACTCCCCAGCCTCTGGGTGCCCGCAGTCCCCACATGGATCCCTGACTGAGCACCACCATTCTCCTGGGACATCCCGTTCTCGCTGCCCGCTCCCAAC